AGAGTTTCTTTCACAGATCTAAAAGTTAGAAATGCCTTGTACAACATCATAACATTTTAAGACAATACCACACGAAACTACTCAATATTTGCTTTTTTTAGAAGTCATAAACTAGAATTTCATTCAAAAACTTATAGTTAGAACTACAGGGTTTTACCCACAGGGAAAAGGAACAACTCCACATTCTATGGTAGTGTTGCACTTAAAACGAGGTATTCCATCCAAGCGGTGAAAACGTATTTTGTCGACACCTAACATAGGCCTTCGTTTGATAGCTTTTTTTTAACTCGGGCTTCCGTAGGAAAGCCCGAGTCATAAAATGCAAGCCGTTCTTGGTCGCCAAAAGGAGGGTCATGGTCCCAGGCGCTCCTAGCGTAGACCGCGGAAACTTGGGATGAGAGTGCGAAAGCTTATGCTACCACATACTCGCTCTTCGTCAGAACAACATAATTTACAGAATACTGTCAGTGTTTTGTGAAGAAAGTTTTGGAAGAATGACGCCTTATACGTTCATCTCATACACAAAGATGTCGATCGTTCTCGGAACGGGTCGGTCCACGAATTATATCGCTTGAAAGCCTGCCAAATAAGCAAAGTTCATGGTCGTTCTCGCGAGATAACAAATGAACCATGCACGAGTTCAAAGTACCAAAACAGATGCAAAAAACTGTGATACTGAGACGAACACCTCAGATGTTGAAAAAATCAAGAATCGTCGTAAACAGACCTTCGAAGATGAGGCAAACAACATGCAATTGGATAAAGAGGATACTCAACGAAGCAACTTGAATAGTAAATATCTAAGCGTAAAACTATTGTGTTGCAATACCCTGATTCTTTTTATTTGTTGTTTTCATTGTGTTCAATAAGCTTACTGATAAAGTACGATTTGATATTGCGGTATGAAGCCCGAGTAAATTAAACGCTCTTAGAGCGTCTAGTTTCTTAATAATGTCTTCGTTTATCTTTCTCGATCTACCACTGCACACTTGACAAAGATTGAGAGCTTAAAGGAGCTATGTTGCAATATATTAATTCATTTCAATTCTGCGATGGACAACTGAAAACTGCCCTTAAATTATAGGAAACATAAAA